CAAGAAATGGTGACATTATGCAGCTCTTACAAAATGCACATATTTCAAAATCCTTTAAAAATGTTAACAAGAACTCATTAATCCCCTGACCTTATGATGAGCTGCATCCAAAATAAATTCTGCACGTATACCATTGTTTTCTGGACTTCTGTAATCAAATAGTGAATTAGTAAGGTATGTCATTCCTTTTGTGCTCAGATTTTCTCCACAAGTGAAAAAGTAGGCCTCCTGAAAATGTGGTTTAAAAAAGGGACAGAGAAAAAAAGTCGTATTAGTATGAAACTAAACAGACCAAAGGGCTGTCTTAAGATAATGATGCACGTGCAAACTGTATCTCCTTGACAATTTAAAACAGATTAAGTTAAACCTTAGTCACAATTTCAATAGAAATACTAGTAAAAGTCAAGGTAAGACATTAAAAATAGAATTACTTAAGTAGCTTTAAGGATTTTTCCCATTTACAATAAAAATATCTTGAATTAATGTGTCTATCACTAGAGAATTTGTTTAGAAAAATCTGTTTGCTCAGAATACTGTTAGCTTTACATTAACAGTATCCTCAGCTTACTATTCACTGAAAATCATTATTTGCTTACCCACCTGCTCTTACTTAGCCCTATAGCCATGACTACTCTACCTCTTTGACAAAATCAGGACTGCTGTCAAGACAGGCCCAACCAACTTACTCCCACTCTATGTATGTAGAAAGCCTGATCAGGAAGCCTAAACTGCTTAGAGGCAATCATATTTGCTTTACGCAGAAGTATGAGAGGTTGCAAGGATAGTCAGGATTTGCTTTAAAAACTCCAAAATAACCATCTCTGAAAAGCACTTAGAGATGCTTAGATTGAAAGTGATGTACAACTGGAAAGCATTATTAAGTATAGGATCACTACACCAGAAACCCTAGGCCAGCCAATATGCACTGAAATAATTTTACAAGTTTTATGGTTTAGTAATTTTACAGCCTTCCCTGCCCTCTAACTGAAAAAAACTCCCCCAAAACACCCAGTTATAGATGCTCCTACTAAACAGAAAGACCTTCACATAGCCCAAAAAAGAACAACATTCCTTTACACTTTAAAAAAAGCTGTGAGAAAAAGGGATCATCTCAAACTTTTGTAATTTCCCTCTCAGTTTTTTTCCTCTGAGCTCTGCATGGAATATGTTAAGACTTATTTCATTAATGCCACATCCAAGAAAACAAAATGGATATTAACAATGGCTTTACAATATTATGTATCAATAAAGCACATCAGCATTGGTGTGCTGAACAATCAAGCAGTATTCCAAATTTACTTACTGCATCACTTCTATTAATATTTTCTTCAAAGTCTTTAATTCCCATAATTCCTTTAAGGCACAGAGCCTGGCAACTGACAAAACCTATTTGGCAATCAAAGAAAGGTTCACCCATCATAAGAACCTATTGGGAGAAAAGGTGACATGGTGAAAAATGCTATGTTATTTGACATTAAAAAAATAAGTAGAAAAGAAGAAAAAATGAAAAATCTAACATGGTAAACTCATTTGAAGTTTTTAATTAATCAAGAAGTCTATCAAGTAGTATGATCTTTACAAGTACATTCTTACCACATCTTAGGGTTACAGTATTCTACACTCTAGAAATCCAGAAAAGAAATTACTTCAATAAATACAATGATATAATAACATAGGAATTTAAAACCAATAACAACTGCTTTTTCAGAATATTTAACTGATGAAAAATATTTATTAAACTTCAATTTGCCAAGGTATTTACTATAAATTGAAAAACTTAGTTGCAGTGGAAAATTACCTCAACTGTGGTTCCTTCTTGCTCCCATCGTATAACTTCTTTGGATTTTACTTTCTGAGGACTATAATAACTACTTTCAGCTTGCATTTCAGTGAGCTATGAAACAATATGATAAACACCTTATATAAGCCAATATTAGCATTAAATAGCAGTAATCTGTCATTACTATATAGAATTGATGAAGACAAATTAAACTTTACTATGGGCCAAAATTTATTATTAGACAGGAAACAGGTGCAGTAAAACAGCTGTAACACATTATCCATATTAGAACATAAGAACTTCTAGCTGAATATGCCAATTTAATCTTATGTATGGCATAAGAAAGTTTTAAACACCATAGTATTTTTATTTAAGCTTCTCTTCTTATATCAACAATGTGTAAAAGATGAAATAACAGATATGCAGCTGCAACACAGACACACTATCAACTGAGTTTATAAACTTGCCTAAAATCTCTAAACTTATTATAGCATTTATTCTGAATAGCAAATAACTCACAACATGTAAAACTAAAGTAAAATTAATTAATTTAAATCATGCCTAAATTTTTCTCATATTATTTTGAAAGTAAATTTTATTACATTTTTGTATGGTTTAGATGCTTATAACTATTCATTCATCAAATCTTTCAAGTAGCAAAGAAACATACTATGGGAAAATATACGTTACATAGTTAAATAACAGTCAATATTGTATCAAGGGAATAGGTCCAACATAGTGAAAAGCTTGCATTTAAGTAAAGAACTTTTCCAGTTTTGCTTGTTTTTGATCTGCTGAAATAATTCAAGTTCTAATTTTTTATATAAAATACCCACAAGCTCATTACTTTAATTTCCAAGACTATATACACATGGTTGCTGTTTCAAAGTAAAATTCTGTAATCCAAATACTCAAGTAAAATTGGATTTTTCTAAAAAACCTGATCACCCTTCAGCTGTGTGCAATTATTGTGGAGGAAAAGCAATTAATTGATTAAAAGAACTCAGACATTACGAGAACAATTTTCAACATTATTAGAAAAATGCTACATTTAATTTGGCATGATTTTTTAGCTGGAATGGTATCAGCTGTTCCAAATGCTAATGCAGAAAACTGACCTTATTTTTTGACCAAAATATGAACCACAAATTAATTCCATACATTCTTTGCATGCAAACAGAACAATGAATTCTAATGTTTTCCTCCGAAATCTCACCATACTGCTCTCACGCACCACTTTACATTCTAAAAATATAAAATGTAAGACTCCATAATTTACAACGTTTTACTACATCCATTAAACAAGCAAGCCTATAATGATACATTAAAAGACCCAATCCTGTCATCCTTGCTCACATAAGTAGTTCCAGCAACTTCAATATGATCACATGAGCACGGTCTGTAGAACCAGGCTTTTAACATGCACATGGAAACACAAAATAAAGTAAATTACAGATAAGTGAACACTGTAGGAAAGCTATTATTTTATTTCATATTGATTTTTATTAAACAGGTGGCATGAAGGTAAATCTATACTAGGTATTTCAAACCTGATATGAAAACTTGACTCAAGCATCAATTAATTAGCAGCTTCCAGATATCTATTTTTATGTGAAACATTACAGCAAATACAATCACTTGAACAATCACCAAACTGCTATATCAGGAAAAATATTCTTAAAATGAAGTCGAGCAAATGTGAACAGATTTTAAGTGGATGAAGAAGACAACATTATAATAAACATTCCATTGCTATTAAGAACTTTCTTTTTGCCAATTATATAGTGCTATTCATTCATAGATGCTAGGGTCAGAAGGGACCTCAACAGATCATCAAGTCCAACCCCCTGCCTAGGCAGGAAAGAGTGCTGGCACTGGAGGATTTACTTTAAACTTTTATCGCTTTTCATAATTTCCCTTTAGAATGAGACCTTTTCATCATTTAACTAACTTTAATTTCATTAACAAGATTTACTGATACTGTTAATTACATGTTGACTGAAAAATAAACTTTTCAAATATTAATATTTTCAGCTATTATGTAATTTTTTTTTATTCAGAAAATAAATGAGCACATCTCAACCTCTAATGTATTAATGTATTGCTTAGCAAAATAATTAATAGACTCTATAACAAAGAAATACTTACTTTGAAAGTTACAGTTGCTTTTGTACAGTAAAACCCAACAGAAACAATAGGATCCTTGAGAGCCTGGAATTTCTGCTGATGCAATGTTGTTCCATCATCCATTCCAATAGACCCATCCTCTCCATCATAGCTCACAATAGCAGGAACAAGTGACCAGGCCCATGAAAACCATCCCTGCTGCTCATCATCATCTTGATTATGCATGTAGGGTTCTTGGTTAATATACTGCGTAGGATATTGTAACGTTGAGCCTGTTTCATCTTCTGCACCTTTGATACAAAACATACATTCAAATCAAAATTGTGGATCAACCGTCCTTAGCAGAATCTTTTATGCTGTTCTCATGTTTAATTTGGGAGCAATTTTTCTGCATTATGTTTTCAGAAATATTTCTGTCGTCTCCCCTCTCATTAGTACCAAAAAAAGATTTAGGAAATAAAAAGATTCCCATTCAGTAATGTCTATTAAGTTACTAAATATAAAAGTTTACATCATAAGTTGCAAACTGGAGCTCTGATGGCTTTCAACATTTTCCATTACAGTATAAGACCACAGCCTGTGACAGGTTAAGGCACAACCCCCAAGCTACCACCCAGCCACCACTCACCTTACAGGTCCTGCTGCAGCAGTAGCCAAGGTTTTTGGCTCCCTACCTCTTCCTCTTGCTTTCACTACCTGTCCCACCCCAGTGGGCAGGACCCCAGGGGAGCCTGCAGTGCAGTGCAGTACAATGGGAAAGCTGGGGGGGAAGGCAGGAGTACCACCTACATACACAGAACAAGGGAGTCTCATAGTGCAAATGTCAGACTTTCTGGGTGTACAATGCAAGGGAGGAGCACTCAGAGGCCTGAAGCTTGTACTAGTGCAGCCCGCACATCATATGATTGGAATTGGTGCAGCCTGTATGGCATATGGCCGCAGGCCACTTAGAACAGGAGCTATCAACCAGGGATACGCTTACCCTTGGGGGTACTTCAGAAGGCCCCAGAGGGTATGCAGCAGCGGGACAGAGAAACTTCTGGTTTCGCTGCAGGTGCTTCTGGTTTTGTTGCTGTGTGCGGCAGCCCCTGCCCTCGACCCCCCCGCTTGTCAACCGGCTAGGGGACTCCCTGCTTCTTGACTGGCCGCTGGGGGTACACTCCAACCAAAAAAAGTTGAAAAACCCAGACTTAGAAGCTGGACAGCCCTGGTATAAGTATTATGGATTGGACTTCAGGGGGGGTTATCTATGCTTTACGCACCTCAATCAGATTTGATCCTCCATAGCCTACTTTTTCATGAAAAATATAAAGCAATGAATTTAAGTGCAGAACAAGAAGTTGCTTAACAGTGGGTTTTGCAAGAAATTTATTCAAACATTTTGCCCCTTACAATTTAGTTCCAGGCATATAGAAGTCTCTACCCTAAATTGTTCCCAGAGGTTATAAGGATAAATGTAAAACCAGCAACATGGTGGTCTTCACTGAAAAATACTTAGATCTGAAGTTTGTTACATGTGTGACTCATCTGCAAGTATGAACACCATCATCTGCTTCAGCCGAAAGAATTTTCTCAAATTCTAATTTCATCCAGAATAAACTAAGAAAGGGGTTAGGAGTGGACAAAACAAGCAAACTTCTAATGTGTTATAAATTGCTTAATGCCAAGCAGTTGAAAACAAAAACCCAACAAAAAAACAGATCCTGAATCAGATTAGTAAACAAAAGAGTGAAATGTAAATGCAGTGATTTCCCCATGTGTTTACTTTTCATAGGTTAAATATAATTTAAGAATATCATAAGCAGGATTTTCCTTTTAAGAATAACATTGCGTTTTTAAATCTCTCTTGAGTTTTTATTTTACATTAAAAATGTATTTTCAGTGCTCTGTGTTGAATGTGTATAGAGCAGGGGTCAGCAACATACAGTTTGGCAAAATATAATCCGTGGGCTGGATTTGGCCCACAGAATCCCAGGGCTTTATCCCTGTCCACACCAAGACTAAGCAGTGGAGTGTTGCACCAGGAATCTTCGCTGCCGCTGCTTCTTCCCCAACCCTGCAGCCTCATCCCAGCTGTGCGTGACCTAAGCTTTCAGCTGGTAGGGAGCTGTGCTTGGGTCCAGAAGCAGAAAGCTGAGTCCACACTGCTACCAGTTCTCCCTCCCTCCTCCCCACTCCAGACTCCCAGCTGCAGTGCAGCTCCCCACCACCTAGAAGCTGGGCTCACATGCCAGAAGGCTGAGAGAAGCAGTGACAACACCAGCATAGCTCCCAGCTGCATGACTGCAGCACAAGCACAGGCAAACCCCCTCCACTGGTGACACATCGAAGCCATATAGCCTGCATCAGAGCCAGGTTGTTCCAGCCTCCAGCTTGAAAAGGTATTAATTAGCAGTTAGGAAGTTTATGTGCATTAGTTTAAATATTTCTCTTCAAACACGAAGAATCTTTTTTTAAAATCACTCATCATAATATATAGAGAACTTCATCTCTTCTCACAATTTTTGCTTTTGGAAATTTCCTACTTGGGCCTAATGATACACATTTTCAAAATATTGTTATGTAGCCTTAAGAAGCAATGACACATTTTTCTAAGTTTGACAAGGAGGGAAGACTGAGAAAGGCTGCAACTCAATCAAGCTCTACTGGATCAGTTGGCTGATGTGACTGCAGAGCCACTGGCCATCCATCATCTTTGAAAATTCATAGCTATCAGGAGAGGTCCCAGATCATTGGAAAAAGGCAAACAGTGCCCATATTTAAGAAAGGGAAGAAGGAGAAGCCAGGAAACTACAGACCAGTCAGCCTCACCTCAGGCCCTGGAAAAATCATGGAGCAGGTCCTCAAGGACTCCATTTCTGAGCCCTTGAAAGAGAAGAAGGTGATTAGGAACAGTCAGCATGGATTCACCAAGGGGAAGTTAGGCCTGACCAACCTGATTGCCTTCTGTGATGAGGTGACTGGCTGTGTGGATGTGGGGAGATGTGGTGTATCTTGATTTTAGCAAGGCTCTTGATACGGTCTCCCACAGCATTCTCACAGCCAAGCTAAGAAAGTATGGGCTGAATGAACAGACTATACGGTGGATAGAGAACTGGCTGGAGCATTAGGCTCAGAGAGTAGCAATCAATGGCTCAATGTCTAGTTGGCAGCTGGTATCAAGTGGAGTGCTCCAAGGGTTGGTCCTGTGGCCAGTTTTGCTCAATGTCTTCATCAATGACCTGGAAAATGGCACAGAGTGAAGCCTCAGAAAGTCTGCAGATGACACCAAGCTGGGGGGAGTAGTAGATACACTGGAGGGTAGGGACTAGGATTCAGAGTGACCTAGACAAATTGGAGGGCTGGGTCAAAAGAAAGCTCATGAGGTTCAACAAGGACAAGTGCAAAGTCCTGCACTTAGGATAAAACAATCCTACGTACCAGTACAGGCTGGGGGCTGACTGGTTGGGCAGCAGCTCTGTAAAAAAAGACCTGGGAGTTAGTGGACAATAAGCTGAATATGAACCAGCAATGTCCCCTTGTTCCCAAGAAGGATAATGGCATACTGGGTTGTATTGGTAGGAGTGTGGCTAGCAGGTCAATGGAAATGATTACTCTCCTCTATTCAACACTGATTAGGCCACATATGGAGTATTCTATTCGGTTTTGGGCCCCACACTACAGAAAGCATGGGGACAAATTGGAAAGAATCCAGAGAAGGGCAACAAAAATGGCTGGGGCACATGACTTCTGAGGAGATGCTGAGGGAACTGGGCTTATTTAGTCTAGAGAAGAGAAGACAGAGGGGATTTAATAGGAGACTTCAACTACCTGAAGGGGAGTTCTAAAGAGGATGGAGCTGGACTGTTCTCAGTGGTGGCAGATGACAGAACAAGAAGCAATGGTCTCAAGTCGCAGCAAGGGAAGCGTAGGTTAGATATTAGGAAGAATTTTGTCACTAGGAGGGTAGTAAAACACTGGAACATTTTGGAGTCCCCCTGTTACAGCAGCGGTTCTGAGAAGATGAAGGAATGGCCTTAGTTACTGAAAGCAGCCACAGTATATTTTCATGATAGTGCGTAAATAGCCTCACCACATGTGGATATGGTGCTTTATGGAGGTGGTACATTCACTGCCTTTAGCAAGTGACAGTCTCAGTTAGACAAGCAGGAAATGAAAAAAGTAATGAAAGAAAAGAGGGGAAGAAGGAGGAATAACAGACACAGCAAATAATTATTTAGTAGTTCAGCCCGTTTTGAGAAAAGGTAGAAAGTGAAGAGGAGGCCCTGAGCTAGAAGTCAGCAGTAAAAACTAAAATAAAATAAAAGGTCAATTTTGAAGAAGAATCTAAAGCAGGAGAGAAAGTTCACTCCAGGATTTAGGGCATGGAAGACTGTACAAAGTCCAAAAAAGGCAAAAAGCAGAAGTAAAAAACGAAACGAAAGGATCAACAGAGCAAGAAATATAAGTATAAAATGAGAAATAAAAAGAAAGAAGGGGGAAAAGACAAGTGTTAGAAAACACACACAACTGTCTGGGGTCATCAGGAAGCTTTCCTGAGAGTTATGTGAATTCCTGTGGAATATGAGTTTCAATTAAAAATCAGTGTTAGCCCTTATAGTTGTACAGATCGGCTTACATACAGGAGTAATATGTAAACCAATGCAACACTGCCTTCCAAAGTCTGCAGACAGGGAACTCCATTCCCACTGCTCCAGCCTTCTAATGTTCTGACAGTTGAAAACTAACTAGAGGTTTTGCCAATCTTTTTCTGAAGCTATTTAGAGCCACATGGAGAGCAGTGTAACTGACAAGACTCTCGTCAATTCATTTTGATGCAGCGTGAGAAAGTTAGGAGAGAAACCACAGAGCGACTGCAGCCAGACCTCTCAAGCATACCAAATTTTGAAGGAAGTTCAATATTTTGGATTCCTGCTCTGCTGCATCACAAAAGCAAGTGATGTTTTATGCGTACAAGAAAAACACTCCCTCACCCACTACGCTCCCTGTAGTGCAGAAAAAAAGAACACCAGGCCAGAAGATCATTAATTAAAATTTCACCTCCACTAGCTGCAGTTTAGATTTCTACAGATTACTAATCAAAAACCTTACACTTTACTTCTAGAAAGCAATCAAATTTTAGTAATGGCATAAGGATTATTTCTGTTTTTTAACCAAAGACTAGCCTTCAATGTAAAATGAATAAACAGTCCTGGGAGCAAAGACCAAGAGCCAAAGCTTCCTCTCTTCCCTGCCCTTAGAATTAGACTACAGAGTCATGTTTCCTCTTGCTTGCTCTTCTTCTGACCCC